GAGAGAGAGAGAGAGAGAGAGAGAGAGAGAGAGAGAGAGAGAGAGAGAGAGACCTGCAACATGCAGCATGTCAGTGGCGGGGAGCACGAGGGCAGGCGCTGACCTCCAACAAAACGAAGTAGTAATTTTATCGCAATACAAGATTTTTTTTTCCGAAATCCGAATAGAAAGGGTACAGGTTGTATTTGAATACAACATGTACGTTTTCTATTCGAGGAACTCTGCTATTCGAGAAAAGTGGACCTGCACTGTTTCAATTTCGAAAAAGGACTGCGGCCTCCTCGGCCTCCTACGCGCAGCTACCGGTCCTACGCTGTCCTGGCCCTCGCAAGGCCCCAAAACCTCAACATGCCCACCCTCCTGACGACCACCAACGTTGAAATCTGAGTGACGTTGAAAATCTCAGGGGGGGGAAACGCAACCCTGACGGGCTGCGAACTATGAATACCAACGGATGCATCTTACCACTTTCTGCTGAAGATGCGTTCATTCTCTTTCCTTTTCGACAAAGCCCTAACTCCTCCCGGGAAAAACAACGAGTGCATCTTCCCACACAGAAGGGAAAGATGCATCCGTTACTACGACAGCACAGCATGACGGGTGAATTGGAATCGAATACGAATACGAACACCCCGACTGCCGCCAGCATTCTGTTGTGCACACCTCCAAACCCACTTCGGCCCAGCCTTCCGAATCCGAAAATCGCACCCTCACGCGATATCGTCCGAAATGGAAAACCAGCCGTCGTCCATGAAAACGGCCCGCCGACCGCTTTTCGTGACCGCTGGTCTGCCCCCTCCAACCGCACTCGCGACCACTCGGCCTACCGGTCTCTGCCCCGACAGTGACCTCACCCTTCAATTACCCATGTTACTGCCCTATAAACCCCTTTCGCCGTCGTCAACATTTCCTGAAAAAGACGGCCTCGCTATGCGACAAAATGCAAACGGTATAGCGCAGCCTCTTGGCTGCGAACAAGGCATGGCAGTTTAGGGGGTGGTGGCATCTTATTTGAAACTGCAAGACCGGTGTTTGCCCGTGGGACCGCAAGGGTTTTGGTCGAAAAATTGAAACGGGGCGGTCCTTGAGCGGTCCTTGAGTTGCAAATTTCAAAATGGAAAGGGTGTCGGGTCGGGGGGCCGGGGGTAGGGGTGGAAAAGTTTGAAAGTGCGCAGGCGTGGGCACAGGGTTAAAACGACACTTGCCACAGATGTTTGTTCGCAGGCCCTCAGGGGTGCGTTTTCCGCCCCTGAGAACATTTTTCGTCGTCATTCGTAGCCTGTCAGGGGTGCGTTTTATGCCCCTGAGAACATTTTTCGCATTGGAAGGCTGGAAAAACAAGGCATGACAGTTTAGGGGGTGGTGGCATTTTATTTGAAACTGCATGACCGGTAGCTGCCCGTGGGACCGCACGAGTTTTGGTCGAAAAATCGAAACGGGG